CCGCGGGCCGGGCCGGGCGCGCCGCCACGGGTGACGTCTGCGCGCGGCGCTCACGTGACGCGGCCCCATTGAGAAAACGGCGGCGCGCGGCGGCGCGCGGCGATAAAAGGCGGGAGCGGGACGCGCGGCACCAGCGCCCGRCACCGGCACTGGAACCGTCCGACCCCGGCCTGGAGCCGCTGCCTCTTTCTCCCTCCTTCGCTCCGTGCCCTGGTGCCGCGGGCATGGTGAACCTGCGGGCGAGCGCGCTGGAGTGCGAGGCGCTGCGGGGGCTGCTGCGGGAGCGCGCCGCGCAGTGCCTCGTCCTCGACTGCCGCTCCTTCTTCTCCTTCAACGCGTCGCACATCGCGGGCTCCTGCAACGTGCGCCTCAGCACCATCGTCCGCCGCCGCGCCAAGGGCGCCGTGGGGCTGGAGCACGTCGTGCCCAACGAGGAGCTGCGCGCCCGCCTGCGCCAGGGGCTCTTCCACACCGTGGTGCTGCTGGACGAGCGCAGCGCCGACCTGGAGCTGCCCAAGCGCGACAGCACCCTCGTGCTGGCCCTGGGCGCCCTGTGCCGCGACACGCGCGGCGTGCGCATCTGCTTCCTCAAGGGTGAGTGTCCCCGGTGTGCCCCGGCCCCCGCCCCGACGGCGCGGCCCCTGCCCGGGCCCCGCGGCGCTGTCCCGGCCCCGCGGCACTCACCCCGCCGCTCTCCACCCGCTCTTGCAGGKGGTTACGAAGCCTTCTCGTCCACCTGCGCCGAGTTCTGCACCAAGCCAGCCGCCCCGACGGGCCTGAGCCTGCCCCTGAGCGCGGCCGGCGCGCCCGGCAGTGCCGACTCGGGCTGCAGCTCCTGTGGCACCCCGCTCTACGACCAGGTGAGGCCCGGGACACGCAGCGGGAGCGGGGAGGCTGCTCGGAGGGTGCCCGGCAAGGCTAACGGCTCCCCTGCCCCTTCTCTTGCAGGGGGGACCCGTGGAGATCCTGCCCTTCCTCTACCTGGGCAGCGCCTACCATGCGTCGCGCAAGGACATGCTGGACGCCCTGGGCATCACGGCGCTCATCAACGTCTCTGCCAACTGCCCCAACCACTTTGAAGGGCACTACCAGTACAAAAGCATCCCTGTGGAGGACAACCACAAGGCAGATATCAGCTCCTGGTTTAACGAGGCCATAGATTTCATAGGTAAATGAGCGTTTTGTGTTTTTTCTCTCTGGGGAGAAAGGGACAGSATCTCACTTTCTGGGAAGCAGTCTGAACATTCCCCTCTTCCCCTGCTGTTCCCAGGCTGCATTTTAAACTGGGGGGTTTTATTCTGTAGAGGAGGTACTTGGGGACCAATCCCATTAGTTTTATTCTACCAAGAGTAGAATAACTCTGCCTTTAGAAAGCTATTTAAAGTCTTGAATCAAGAGGCATAGGTACTGCAGAAAAGAGCTAGCAAATTGAAGTGGATAAGTCTTAAAGTAACCTTGCAAGAGCAGTAAAGTGTCCTGGAGGGGCTATTAGTATAATCAGAATTGGAGCCGGAATGAGACTGCTGTTTGCCTGGGGACAAAGGCTCCCTTTGTCTCCAGAGCACTGCGCACCTACCAGCCTAAGGAAGAGATGGATTAAAGAAATGTAAAACAGCCCCTTGAGCTTTCTTGCCTTTGGAAGCAGTGAGACCAGTTTGCTAACTGAATGCTCTTAATTCTTTCAGACGCAGTTAAAAACGATGGTGGAAGGGTATTTGTGCACTGCCAGGCTGGCATTTCTCGGTCAGCGACCATCTGCCTTGCTTATCTCATGAGGACCAACAGAGTTAAACTGGATGAAGCCTTTGAGTTTGTGAAGCAAAGAAGAAGCATCATCTCCCCAAATTTCAGCTTCATGGGACAGCTGCTTCAGTTYGAGTCCCAGGTCCTTGCCCCAAACTGCTCAGCAGAAGCTGGCAGCCCTGCTATGTCTGCTGTACTGGACAGAGGAGCATCAACCACAACCGTCTTTAACTTTCCAGTCTCCATCCCTGTTCACACATCATCCAGTGCTTTAAGCTACCTTCAGAGCCCCATCACCACTTCCCCAAGCTGCTGAAAGGCTGGTGAAAAACATGGTCAGAACTTGGACTCTTATTGTCTGAAAGTGCAATAACTATGAGGACAGTGTCATCCACAGCCACTTGCATTTGTGGAGGTCCATTCATCTATCCCAGAGCATCGTTGTAAGCAGAGAGAAGCTCACTCGACTCCAGAGAACTAGTGTTATTGTTGGTTTCTTTTTTTTTTTTTGCGGCTGATGTTTTAAGCCAATATCTGGATATCTACGTAGAGGTCAAAGAACCTAGTTGTCTCTTCCTGAGCTGTTTCTCTAGTCTCCTGTCTGTTTTAAGCCTGCTCCCTGTCTAGTAGCATATGTACCAGTATTCCCATTCCTGGACACTTCAAGCAACAGTGATGCTGTCCCCTACATGACAGTCCTACTATTTATTTTTTACATTAATGTATTGKTTTTTTGCCTTCACAAACCTTAAGTTTCATTTCTAGAGAAACAAAATACCTCAGTATTTTTTGGTACTGTAATCCTGTATATATGTCAACTTTTCTTCCCCCCTCCCTGCCCCAAGCACTGACGTGAAAGCACCAGACGAGTGCTTTTTTGAGTTGCCAAGGGTTGTATGTTTGATTATTTATGATGTGAAATAATATATTTCTTCTTACGAAGACCTAGTTTTGTTACATGATTATAACTTTTTATACAAACAGAATAAATTATGATATTTCTATTGAGAACTGGGTATATGTTTAAAAATCTTGCGTTTTACTGTCTCAAAGCATTTAGGCTTTCCCAAATGACCTGTAAGAAGCCTGAATTTCTGACTCTGCTGCCGAGCTTGCTGACCTCAGGCACTGCAATTAACCAGGGCCCTGACCAAACTAGATGGAAAAATGGGTTTGGAGACAATGTGCTTGATGAGAAAGTGGCTTTTCGTTTGAGCTGAGCTTGTCTTTGATCTAGGAGAAGGCCGAGACTGGGCCTGCTCTGTCCCCGTGTTGTTACACGTCATGGCAAGGAGTCAAGGGCAGATTCCCAGCTGCATAGGTGAATGTGGCTCCAGTGACAGCCATGCATTTGAAGCTGTTCACACCAACTGGGCATGGGGCTACTGTGAATTTAAAATAATCCTCTTCTTGGAAGAGCTTCCTCACTGCTTGTTTACCGTTTACACAGAAAAGGTTAAGTCTAAAAATTGAGGTTGTTCTATTTTATTTTCAAGACTGCTTCTAGTCCTTAGGGTGAAATAGCTGGTTTGTTATGTTAATCCTGTAAGCAAGTCAGGGCGTAGGAACTGATCAGGCAGCCACTAGTCACTTAACTGACTATCCCAGCATGACCTCCTTGCTGGGGCTTTGCACCACTGCTTTTTCCATGGCATTTAAGGGGAGCTGGTGAGAGCAGAGCCTCGGGTAGCAGGGGGAGAGAGGGGAGCTCTGYCCCTTGCTCTGGCGGAGGTGCCTGGGCTCCCTGGGGAGCAGCGGGTGCTGCAAAGTGTCGCTCTCACCTGGTGATGCTAATGCAGAAATGCAGCCAGGAGGCAGCCTGTTTTCCGAGCCAAATGATATCACGAGTGGCTGGGGGAGTGTGCTGGGACGTCAGCTCTTCTGGCTCTGGACCTTGGCCCTAGAATGCAGGTGCTGGTCCCTGCATCTCTGAAATTCAGAGAGATGGATCCTGCTCTTGACTCATCACAACATGGTTTGCTTAGTCAGATAGCAGCAGGTTACAACGCTTTATGTAAAATTACAGCATTTTTTGTAGTTAAAAGTCTGAAGCCTCAGCTGATACGGGGCTTTTATGAAGCATAAAGCAGCTGCAGTCTTGTCCCATCACTGGAGACGAGCTCCGCACTAAATAAACTCCTGCTGCAGTCCTGCCTGTGTTAACYGTACGAAAATCTGGGACTCTTCTCCCGGGAGAAGGTGCCCTTGAAGGAGGGGATGATGTGCTGCTGTGTCTGAAATTCTTCCACGTGAGCTCCCCGCGAGACGCAGCTCTGTCGTCAGCGCCGTGCGTTAGCAGTCAGCAAGCGCCGTCCTGGCACCGAGGGATACAAACAAGGGAGCAGCAAAAAAGGGAAGGAAACAGAGATCCCTGGCCATGAAGAACTGAGGGTAGAAACCCTTTGTCTAGCGCACGTTAACGTGTGCGAACCGCTAGCTGACTTTTCCTCTCCCAAACCTGCTCTGTCCTGAGGATCCTGCAAAACCCCCTTCCCTGCACCRCTCCATGGGATCGCAGCCGCGCTCCAGGCTGCTTCCGAGCACGGGCGCCTGCCTGCACCTGCACGACTCGGCGGAACAAACTTTCCCCTTCGCACTGAAGCGGAGCTTGCTCAGTGGAAAAATACAACCTTGGCAGCCCCAGCCCTGCAACTGATAAAAAAAAACCTGCCTGGTAATCGCAGTTCAAACAGAATTCCGCTCCCCAGCAGCCGGCAGAGCTTGTTTATGTGTTTCTTGGAACAATAAAACTCATTACCTGGCAGCTGAGCGGTTTTTATAACTGAGCGAGGCACCTGACAGAGGGGCACAAAGGCGAGCGGCTGCAGCACCAACTCGTTTCTGCAAGAGCCGTGGCCGTGGTGGGGCACGAGCCCCGCGGGCACCCAAAGCTGATGCCAGTCCTGGGGCTCGCAGCATCTTTCCTAGAGCCTTTACGGGGATCCTCCACTTTCCAGCCGTAACGAGAGTCACACGTGTGCACAGCTGGGTTATCTGTGAACAGCATCGTCCACAGATCCCAGAGAGCACCCAGGCTGAGCGAGCGTGGGAGAAGGGRAGAGCCCAGCACCCATAAGCAGGGGAGACTGAGGCAAAGCTCCCTGGAGTGCCGCAGTTGTGGGGGATGGCCGAGCTCGGATGGGGGTGGCTCAGAGCGGTGAGAGGTGGGGAAAGGAGAGGAGCAGGGCCCGGCAGGGCGGGAGGAAGGCTGGGTGGGAGGAAGAGGAGGATGTGTGGCTGTGGGCGCGAGGAGCCAATGCGGTGGTGGCTTCTAAACTTAGCCCGACTGGAGGAGGTCTTGATTGCTCAGGCCAGCCGAGCTCTGCTACCTGCGAAGGTGCTGGGGAGGATTTTCCCCTCCTCTCCACTGGTTTGCTCCCTGTTTTCAGTCCGTTTGGGTTATCAGGGCACACGGATCACTGTGGTTCATAGCTGTGAGCTCCAGCAGGGCTCGACTTCTACCCGTGTCAGGACGTCCTGCCCGCGCAGGCGGCTCTCAGGTCAGATCCTCCTCTTTGCATCCCCACCGCGACCCCCCGAAAATGTTGTGGCGCTTCATGGGGCAACTTTAAGGTTATATAAACCTGTAATTAAACAGTTGCCTCCATCCCCATGGAAACCGCGAGGAGTTTCCCCGGGGTGAGGAAGGCTGCAACATCACTTCCTGCTGCTGACAGCCCCGTTTGTCACAAAGTGATAAAAAGGCTGCTTGCGTGTCCGCAGGAACTGGCTCGGGGCTTTGTTCCTGCCGGCCGCCAGCCCCTCCTGCCCTGCAGGGGAACAATGGCCATTGTGCTGCTCCTGCTCCCGCTCCCGCTGCCTCCAGCACCTCCCCAAGCCATTCCCATGCCAGCCAAACCCCTCCCAAGCGCACAGGACAGCAGGATGCTCCTCGTGGGTAAAACACCACGCACAGCTCCATGGGAATCTATAGAGGCAACATATGGCCAGGACAAGGACACAACAACACAATACAACCCGTAGGACAGAGCATCCCCGGCTATCATTTCAGACGCAGTCGCTGAGCTCCAGATTAGTTACATCTGGGGTAATCCCCTTGTCTCAAAGCCCTTCTTTTGTCATCAGAGGCACTGGGTGCGCTGGAGCTTGGGGACTATCCTGCATGAGTCACCCTCCGTGTCGCACTCGCAGGCTATGGGGCTGCCTTGTGCCATTAGCTAAGTGCTGGAGGAGAACTTGGCCTCCTGAGTGCATGCAGGCAAGTCTCGTTTGCCTGGTTAATCCTTCTCCTCCCTTCCCTTCCCTTCCCTTCCCTTCCCTTCCCTTCCCTTCCCTTCCCTTCCCTTCCCTTCCCTTCCCTTCCCTTCCC